ATTGACTTCACAGATATAGTTGACAAAATTTACACTACTTAACAATAAAAGTGTGTTCTTTCTAATAAACAATCCCATTTTAACATATTGCTGTTAGATTTTGAGATAGAGAGGTTTAAACTAGACCCAAACTTTTCTTCGCTCTGAAATAGTTATGAAATTTTAAAAATCCGTAAAAAAATCGACTTCGCAGATATAGTTGATAAAATGTATACTATTTAGCAATAATAGTGTGTTCTTTCCAATAAACAATCCCATTTTAAAAAATTGTTGTTAGTTTTTGAGATAGAGAGGTTTAAACTCGACCGAAATTTTTTCTCTCTGAAATGATTACGAAAGTTTAAAAATCCGTAAAAAATCGATTTCGTAGATATAGTTGATGAAATTTACTCTACTAAGCAATAAAAGTGTGTTCTTTACAATAAACAATCCCATTTTAAAAAATTGTTGTTAGTTTTTGAGATAGAGCGGTTTAAACTCGACCGAAATTTCTTCTCTCTGAAATGGTTATGAAACTTTAAAAAACCATAAAAAATCGACTTTACAGATATAGTTGATGAAATTTACTCTACTTAGCAATAAAAGTATGCTCTTTCCCATAAACAATCCCATTTCAAAAAATTGCTGTTAGTTTTTGAGATAGAGAGGTTTAAACTCGACCGAAACTTGACTTCTCTCTGAAATGATTATAAAACTTTAAAAATCTGTAAAAAGTCGACTTCGCGGATATAGTTGGTGAAATTTACACTACTTAACAATAAAAGTGTGTTCTTTCCAGTAAATAATCCATTTAAAAAAAAATTGTTAGATCTTGAGATAGAGAGGTTTAAACTCGATCGAAACTTTTCTTTTCTCTGAAATGGTTATGAAAGTTTAAAAATCCGTAAGAAATCGACTTCGCAGATATAGTTAATGAAATTTACACAACTTATAACACCAAAACTATTTTATCAGCAAAAAAAAATTTGAGAACCTCTGCCATAAAACGACATTGTGAATAAAAGGAGCCGACACCGTTGTGGATACATCAAAGATGATGATGATGGTACGGGATTCCGGGCGATAATCGAAGAGGTGCGATGCGTGAAGAATGCCGGCGTTTTACTTTCTCTTTGACCCAGACAGTGAATCACGTCTAGAGGTCCGCAAGAAACTTGCTGCTTAACAGCCAAACCTTTTCCACTTCTTCGAGCATCTTTCTTTTCTTGTTGACATACTCAGCAAGCCACAAATTATGTCAGAAGAAAGAAAAACAATGAAGAAAATAATCGTTTTATTTCCTTAAATGAAACTCCAAGTAAATTTAAGTGAAAATTTTTGTTAATTTTAAAAAATTTTTCTTTCAAAAAATTTTAATTTGTAATATTTATCGATTATTTTCTTTGATTAATATCAATCAAGAAATAAATTTATTAACTCTTCTGGTAATCACGTCTTCTTCTTCTAAAGCAGCTTAACAGTTTACGCTTTCTTTGACCTAAATTGAGGACACCGGCTTCGTCGTCCACATGCCTCGTCGTTCAATGGGCAAGGTAAAAGAAATTACATGAAGAAAAAAAAACTACTTTCTCGTGTACCTGTGCTTGAAGAAGCACTTAAACTCGCGCCTCTTTTCAACAACCACAGTCAAAGGTCAGTGTCTCTTAATAAATTGCGCAATAAGATTCTCCGATCCATAGATAATTAATTTAATAATTAAAAAAAAATACTTACATGGCTAATAACGAGTCCATTTTTTTCTCCATAACAATCACCTCATCGTGGTTTTGTTGGATCATCGCTTCACAAAAAGCCCTTTTCGAACAAGGAGTGTCCGACCACACCTGAGGTGAATTCAACTGACCGAATTTACCAAGACCATCACTTTTAACTTCACGATCCAATTCTTGAATGTATTCATCGTCGTTAATACTCCTTCTAAATCTTCTATTTTCTTGGCCATTTTTATTATTTTGGTCTTCTTGCATAATTACAAAAATATCATTTGGATATCCATTGAAATTTCTTAAATCTTCTGGTTGGAGGTATCTTCCAACGGCGGCAGCACCTAATCCAAGAGCAGCACCACCAGCTACTAATCCCAAAGCTGGCAAAATTACTGAAGTTGTCATCGGGGTGATAAATCCAACTTTATTTTGGGCTGTTGTACTTGATGGAGTGTGGGTAAGACCGAGATTGTGTGAAATTTTTTGGGTGGCTTCAACAAGGGGTTCAAATACTGGTCGGGTTAATTGTTGCATCCTCTCAAAACCACTTTGAACGTTATCTTTGATGCTTTCAGTTATTTTCATCCAAAATGGTTGTTCTGGTTTTGATTTGACGTAATAAGTGTTGTAAGGATATTGCATTAAATCTTTTTTGTAGTAATCTGTGTAATATTGATGGTTATTTTGGTCTAAATCGGAATTATCTTCTGGTTTGATATCATAATGGTTATAATCAGCTGTGTTTGCTGTGTTGTGATGATAATTGTAATTATATCTGCTTTCTTCTTCTTGACTAGCTTTAGCTGNGTTTAAACTCGACCGAAATTTCTTCTCTCTGAAATGATTATGAAAGTTTAAAAATCCGTAAAAAATCGATTTCGCAAATATAGTTGATGAAATTTACTCTACTTAACAATAAAAGTGTGTTCTTTCCAATCAACAATCCCATTTTAACATATTGCAGTTAGATTTTGAGATAGAGAGGTTTAAAATCAACCGAAATTATTCTTCTCTCTGAAATGGTTATGAAACTTAAAATGCGTAAAAAAAATCGACTTCGCAGAAATAATTGATAAAATTTGCACTATTTAGCAATAAAAGTGTGTTCTTTCCAATAAACAATCCCATTTTAAAAAATTGTTGTTAGTTTTTGATATAGAGAGGTTTAAACTCGACCGAAATTTCTTCTCTCTGACATGATTATGAAAGTTTAAAAATCCGTAAAAAATTGATTTCGTAGATATAGTTGATGAAATTTACTCTACTAAGCAATAAAAGTGTGTTCTTTACAATAAACAATCGCATTTTAAAAAATTTCAGTTAGATTTTGAGATAGAGGTTTAAACTTGACCGGAACTTTTCTTCTCTCTGAAATGATTATGGAACTTTAAAAAACCATAAAAAATCGACATTACAGATATAGTTGATGAAATTTACTCTACTAAACAATAAAAGTGTATTCTTTACAATAAACAATCGCATTTTAAAAAATTGCAGTTAAATTTTGAGATAGAGAGGTTTAAACTTGACCGAAACTTTTCTTCTTTCTGACATGGTTATGAAATTTTAAAAATCCGTAAAAAAATCGACTCCGCAGATATAGTTGATAAAATTTACACTATTTAGCAATAAAAGTGTGTTCTTTCCAATAAACAATTCCATTTTAAAAAATTGTTATTAGTTTTTGAGATAGAAAGGTTTAAACTCGACCGAAACTTCTCTCTGAAATAATTATGAAACTTTAAAAATCTGTAAAAAATCGACTTCGCAAATATAGCTGATGAAATTTGCACTATTTAACAATAAAAGTGTGTTCTTTGCAATAAACAATCCCATTTTGACATATTGCTGGTAGATTTTGAGATAGAAAGGTTTAAACTTAACCGAAACTTTTCTTCTCTCTAAAATAGTTATGAAACTTTAAACATCCGTAAAAAAATCGACTTTGCAGATATAGTTGATAAAATTTACACTATTTAGCAACAAAAGTGTGTTCTTTCCAATAAACAATCCCATTTTAAAAAATTGTTGTTAGTTTTTGAGATAGAGAGGCTTAAACTCGACCGAAATTTCTTCTCTCTGATATGGTTATGAAACTTTAAAAAACCATAAAAAATCGACTTTACAGATATAGTTGATGAAATTTACTCTACTTAGCAATAAAAGTGTGCTCTTTCCAATAAACAATTTCATTTTAAAAAATTGTTGTTAGTTTTTGAGATAGAGAGGTTTAAACTCGACCGAAATTTCTTCTCTCTGAAATGATTATGAAACTTTAAAAATCCGTAAAAAATCGATTTTGCAGATACAATTGATAAAATATACACTATTTAACAATAAAAGTGTGTTCTTTCTAGTAAACAATCCCATTAAAAAAAAAATTGTTAGATCTTGAGATAGAGAGGTTTAAACTCGACCGAAACTTTTCTTTTCTCTGAAATGGTTATGAAAGTTTAAAAATCCGTAAGAAATCGACTTCGCAGATATAGTTGATGAAATTTACACAACTTATACCACCAAAACTGTTTTATCGGTAAAAAAAAATTTGAGAACCTCTGCCATAAAACGACATTGTGAATAAAAGGAGCCGACACCGTTGTGGATACATCAAAGATGATGATGATGGTACGGGATTCCGGGCGATAATCGAAGAGGTGCGATGCGTGAAGAATGCCGGCGTTTTACTTTCTCTTTGACCCAGACAGTGAATCACGTCTAGAGGTCCGCAAGAAACTTGCTGCTTAACAGCCAAACCTTTTCCACTTCTTCGAGCATCTTTCTTTTCTTGTTGACATACTCAGCAAGCCACAAATTATGTCAGAAGAAAGAAAAACAATGAAGAAAATAATCGTTTTATTTCCTTAAATGAAACTCCAAGTAAATTTAAGTGAAAATTTTTGTTAATTTTAAAAAATTTTTCTTTCAAAAAATTTTAATTTGTAATATTTATCGATTATTTTCTTTGATTAATATCAATCAAGAAATAAATTTATTAACTCTTCTGGTAATCACGTCTTCTTCTTCTAAAGCAGCTTAACAGTTTACGCTTTCTTTGACCTAAATCGAGGACACCGGCTTCGTCGTCCACATGCCTCGTCGTTCAATGGGCAAGGTAAAAGAAATTACATGAAGAAAAAAAAACTACTTTCTCGTGTACCTGTGCTTGAAGAAGCACTTAAACTCGCGCCTCTTTTCAACAACCACAGTCAAAGGTCAGTGTCTCTTAATAAATTGCGCAATAAGATTCTCCGATCCATAGATAATTAATTTAATAATTAAAAAAAAAATACTTACATGGCTAATAACGAGTCCATTTTTTTCTCCATAACAATCACCTCATCGTGGTTTTGTTGGATCATCGCTTCACAGAAAGCCCTTTTCGAACAAGGAGTGTCCGACCACACCTGAGGTGAATTCAACTGACCGAATTTACCAAGACCATCACTTTTAACTTCACGATCCAATTCTTGAATGTATTCATCGTCGTTAATACTCCTTCTAAATCTTCTATTTTCTTGGCCATTTTTATTATTTTGGTCTTCTTGCATAATTACAAAAATATCATTTGGATATCCATTGAAATTTCTTAAATCTTCTGGTTGGAGGTATCTTCCAACGGCGGCAGCACCTAATCCAAGAGCAGCACCACCAGCTACTAATCCCAAAGCTGGCAAGATTACTGAAGTTGTCATCGGGGTGATAAATCCAACTTTATTTTGGGCTGTTGTACTTGATGGAGTGTGGGTAAGACCGAGATTGTGTGAAATTTTTTGGGTGGCTTCAACAAGGGGTTCAAATACTGGTCGGGTTAATTGTTGCATCCTCTCAAAACCACTTTGAACGTTATCTTTGATGCTTTCAGTTATTTTCATCCAAAATGGTTGTTCTGGTTTTGATTTGACGTAATAAGTGTTGTAAGGATATTGCATTAAATCTTTTTTGTAGTAATCTGTGTAATATTGATGGTTATTTTGGTCTAAATCGGAATTATCTTCTGGTTTGATATCATAATGGTTATAATCAGCTGTGTTTGCTGTGTTGTGATGATAATTGTAATTATATCTGCTTTCTTCTTCTTGACTAGCTTTAGCTGGTTGGACGCCAAGTTCGGGGTGGGCGTATTGAAGAACGGGGGTTCTTACACCTTCGTTAAAATTAACGGGGCTTAGTTTTGTGGATGGTGTGTAAAGTTGGGAGTTTGGATAAGAAGGATTTCCCCCATATTGAAGCATTCTTCTTTGCATTTGAGGAGATTCATAGCTTCGAAATTTTCTTGCTGATGAATAATCTTTTTTTGATTCTTTCTCGTTGATTTCTTTGAGGTATTTTAATAAATCCTCGCTAACAAATTTTTCGTTATCTTCTTTAGTAAATGGGCCAATTCCTGATGTACCAAATCGGACGTAATTTCTTTCGGTTCTTTCTTCGTTAACTTTTCTGACATCGTCCGATTTAAAGTTATCTTCTTTATTGAACGGTCCAAATCCGCGTTGGTCTTCAACATTTTTATTTTCTTGATTACTTTGGCTTGCGTAAACTAACTCGCCAAGTGGTTTGGCTGGTGGGGGTTTATAACCTTCTTCGTACGGAACCAATTCGCCGTTAATAACCCTGGCATTTCTCCACGTTTGTTGTTTATCATTCTCGTCATCTGGTACTCTTACTCCGTGAATAACCGGGATTCCATCCGTATCTATGCTAACCAACGAACGTCCTCGTTTCTTTTCGGCTGCTGGTTTTACGAAAATATCATCCGAGACTATTGTAACCGGCTTTGGCACGTGAGGAATTCTAAAATATACAAAATTAAAATGAATGATTGAAAAAAATTCTTTTGTGGTATGCAAAGAGTGAATGTGGGTATTCCGTTTGCGTTAGGTGTGGATGTTATTTGATGAATAATACATGGGCTTTGTTGGTCAATAGAAGAGTTTCATTTTGAGTTAAGTAACGTGGTTGAAGGTGTGTGGTAAAAAAGGAAAATGTTGGTCAACGACGATAAAAAGTTATTTGTTACTCTTTATTTACTTGAAGGTTACGGAAAGTTATTGAAATTTGATCACAAACGAAAACAGAAAATTTTCTAAGAATTAATAAGGTGGCTAATAAATGTATGCATATAAGTATTCAGATTAGTAATAAAAAGCTGCATATTTCTTTTATTTTGCATTCACAACAGCTGCGTCATTGTTGAGACAACTTTTATTGAAGCTCAATATTTTTACAATCATAACACCAAGTAGTAACATAACGAGAACTTCCTTTTACAATCGAGATCCCAATAAATCTCAACTCCTGATTTATTTCTGTGATCACTTCTCATTCGTGCGGAATCTCTCGGTGACCTCAACAATGATCGTTAAAACTTATTAGAGTTTACTCATTTTTTATTCCTCATTCAACGAATGTAATAAAAGAGGCACTCCTTAATTAAAGGAACGGAGGAATAAGTTGTGCTTGGTTGACGATACTAAAACCTTAGATACCTTTGAATCATATTGGGTTGGGTCAACAAGCTGTATTTAGCTACAACATTGTGGTTATCATGGCCTATTAGGAAATCCATAGTTGGAATAGGGTAAGTATCATGATTTTCTAGCATCAGCGTTATAGCACAATGTAGATCCTGAGCTTACGAGAAATTGCTCAAAACATCAAACATAATAGAAACATTCAGACAACTTAATGTAAACAAAATCACCACAATTGTAGATATAAGGCAGAATGATAGCCTTAGCTCACAGCTTTTCAACATCTTAACCGAATCATAGGATAAGTGTATAAGGTAAAACATGGATACATGGCTGACCAAGTTGTTAAAACACAGATGGAAAAACTTAGCATGGACATAAATGGTAATAAACAAAAACTATGGTAATAGCTAGACTGGCAGCACTAGAAGACGCTAGAACAGATTCGGAATACACTGCCATAATCAAAAATTTATAAACATTCATGAAAATTCCTCTTGGTAAAGGCGTCCTCTCAAGTTGTTCACCTTCACAACCTTGGAAAATGTATTTAAACAATTGGATTTGAAAAATATGGGTCTAAATGTAAATTTTGTACGCTTGTCATCATTTAAGGTTCGCAGACGATGTGATTCTGGGTCTGGTCAGATATAGAGACACAAAATGATGTTGCCATTGACAAGCTCCTTAGAGAATGTAAGCCAGTATATACAGCTTGGTCAAACTATTGAAATTGGCGACGGATTCAACTATCATTAGCGGCATTTGGAAAACTCAATTTTATACTGAAAACAAAGAAATGCCGAGAAGCCTAAATGAGAGGTGTTTGATAGCTGCAATCTGCTAGTGACTACTTACGAACTTGAAATCATGGCTTTAACAAGGATAAGTGCAACTTAATGTAACCCAAAAGAGCGATGAAACGAAGAACACAAGTGACAGATGTTAAGAGGCGAGTAGCGAGACTTAAGTGGCAATGGGTTGGGCATATGGCCATAACAATGGACATAACCTTTTGAAGACCACGAGAAACTAGAAACGGCGCAGAAAGACCGCAAGAGTGGTAGTAATAATAATAAGTTTATTGCCACCAAGATTTACAATAATAACAGAAAAATATACATTATTCTATAACATTAACACAAGGTTAACAAAAGGTCAATTTATAGCCATACATGTTTTCAAAAAGACCCAACCAGCAATGTATGTATGGAATTAAGATAAATAATTAATATGGCAACTATGGAAAAAAAAGAACAAAAACAGAAAGAAATAAGTCTACATGTCAAGTAACTGAAAAAGAATAGGAGAGAACAAGAAAGAAAGAAAATCAGATTAAGCGAAAAATGATTGGAAAAGCGCAAATAAAGCTCAGCTGAAGAGGGAAAAGAGAAGAAGCAGATGACATCAAAAATTCTGTGAGTAAATTATTCCACAGAGCTATAGTTTTTACAGTGAATGATCTGTGATATATTTCAGTACGATGAACAGGAAACATGAGTGATACATTCTCTAGTAGGAAGACCGCGAGATGTCATGAATTGAAATGCAGTGAACAGGTAAATTGGGGATTGAGAGGAAAGTATCTTGTATAAGGTAGTTAATATCCGAAAGGATATACGCTTCTCAACGGTGAGCATTTCTAGATGATTACGATATGGTGTAACATGGTCATGCTTTCTCAGGTCGAAAAACCTGTAACCGAGGTTGCGACGAACAATACAACAACAGAAATAGAAATAGAAATAAACCTTCCTGCAGACAGAACAATGCACAGACAATGCAGAATCCATCATCATCCACAAGTTTTTAACTGTTTGAGAGGTATATCGATGATGTGTAGGGTAGGGATATGAAGGGGTTTACGTCCAGCAGTGGACGAATACAGGCTGAGGAAGGAGAAGAATAACTAGACAGCTGTGCTGATGTAAAATAGACCACATTTAATTGAGTCTAAGCATATGATCTTATGGAGAATTCAAGAACAACGTGAGAGCACAAGCCAAGAAGTCTACCAGATTATGGGGAGCATTTAGAACGACCATCCAGAGAAATAATTGCATATCTACCTAAACTTAAATGAGGATACATAAAACTTAGGTGAGACTACTAATGATATACTAGAAAATACAGTGAAAACCAACAGGATGGTACATACCGACGATGTTGAGAGCAATTATTGGAAACAAACTATGGGATTAGAGAAGAAACAAGGAAATTCTGGAGGAATACGAGACGACAGATGTGGTAAGATGAAAGAAATACATTTACAAAGATTGCCAGAGATTTCTATAAGACGATTTTATAATAATCTTACCGTCACCATGTATAAAACATGATGATACTATACCCAACCACCTCTAAAGTCACACACCGCCTCCACCTACCAACAGCAACTAGCATTACTCGTCATCATAATTAAACACAACTCCTGCCACCAACCAGATGCATTCATCCATATCATCAATATCCTGACCTCCTCTCCACTCTCCCCCATTCGGACACTCCTGAAAGATATGCTGCAAGTACCCCACACATCGGATAAAAAGAAACGGTTTCTACAAGTCGTTTTCAAAAACATACTGCGACACTGTACTGAACTACAACATTGTGGTTATCATGCCCTAATGGGAAATCCATAGTTGGAATGGGGTAAGTATTATGACTTTCATATTTCCTTTAAACAGGTGACCTTTCATATCAAAATAGATGAGGATACAAAAACCTTTGTTCACCTTGGCAACCTAAGAAATATATTTACAACCCAACCCAACCCAAGTTGTTCACCTTGGAAATATGTTTAAACAATCGGATTTGAAAAATATGGGTCTGAATGTAGATGTTGTACGTTTGTATCATTTAAGGTTCGCAGACGATGTGGAACTAGTCAGGAAGTGGAAGACACGAGAAAATTAATTAGCAACATGCAAAATTATGTCGCCATTGATAACGTCTCCTTAGAGAATGTAAGCCAGTCTTGGTCAAACTATTAAAATTGGCAAAGAGAATCAAACCGTCAAAACAAGGCGGCGGATTCAACCATCATTGGCAGCATTTGGAAAACTTAGTTTTATACTGAAAACAAAGAAATGCCTAGAAGCCTAAATGAGAGATGTTTGATAGCTGCATGCTAGTAGTGCTACATACGGACTTGAAGTCATGGCCTTGACAAGGATAACTGCAAAACCACTTAGTGTAACCCGAAAGAGCAATACTGGTAGTCACAATATTCAAAATAGCGACATTTGCAAAAGAACACAAGTGATAGATGTTAGGAGACGCGTAGTGGACGAATACAGGCTGAGGAAGAAAAAGAATAACTAGACAACAGTGCAGATGTAAAATAGACCACATTTAATGGACTGTAAGCATATTATCTTATGGAGAACTCAAGAACAACGTGAGAGCACAAGTCAAGACGCATGGTTAATACAAAAATTGTCAAACTAAAATATCACATATTAAAGAATTAAAAACAAGACATCCGGAAGATCAACAATAAGATACATAGATACGATAAGATATAGAACACAAAATATGTTTTTAAGAATATTATTTAATGACGTGGCAAGCTTCTGAAGATGAATGCATAGCATATGAAACTGGTAGAGCCTAAATAAAATCTATCCATTTACTAAAATCACATAGTTTTATTACATTGCAACTTAATATAAAGATGGAAAGAAATAATTACAACAATAATGACAAGTCAAGAAGTCTGCCAGATTATGTGGAGCATTCAGCACGACTATCCGGAGAAATAAGTGCATATTTACCAAAACCTAAGGGACGATAGACAAAGAGTGGGTGAAACCACTCATGACATATACTGGAAAATACAGCGGAAAAACAAAAGGTGCATACCAATGAGATGGCGATTTTGAGAGCTATTACTGGGAACAAACTATGAGATTAGAGAAGAAACTAAGAAATTCGGAAGGAATGCGAGACAGCAGATGCAAAAAATACATTTCCAAAGATTGCCAGAGATTGCTGACCAGCTTTCTTCTTCTTCTCCACCCAACCACCGCCTCCGTCTACCAACAACTAGCGTTACTCGTCATCATAATTAGACACAACTCCTGCCACCAACCAGATCTACCAACAACTAGCGTTACTCGTCATCATAATTAGACACAACTCCTGCCACCAACCAGATGCATTCATTCATATCGCTGTCATCAATATCCTGACCTCCTCTCCACTCTCCTCCCATTTGGACACTCCTGCAAGATATGATGCAAGTACCCCACACACCAGGATATGTTCGTCTCTCTCAGCCGAAACCTGTTCAAATATACATTGAATGGACCATGACCCGTTATGAGCTGAATATACTGGATCTTACTGAACATAGCCACCCCACCCATCAATTCATCTTTCATAAACCCATTTTCCACCCTTCTGAACACACAACCTCCTCACATCACATGGACGATCTCCAAAAAGATGGAAAAATAGCTGGTCGTCTACATCACAAGAAGTGCTTCCGCAAAAAAGATATGAAAGCAATATTTTCAAAATGAATATTTCGATAAAATTGCCTAAATTCAAGATCCATTTAACACTCCATCTGAATTTGCTTCTGCAGAAGAACAGAATCTTAACGAGATGTTTTATAATTACAGTTTGAAAAGAAAAAAAATTTTGGATTTCAATAAACGATGAAAAAATCTCTTTATTTATATCTCTTACTTATTCTCCTTTTACTTAGGGTAAGGTGAACACGCTTTGAATAAAATTATTTAGCTTTGTTACACCACCATGGCCTCCAAACCCTTGAAGATACGAGAAAGTGCATGTTTATTGAGTAGATTCGTGCTTTTGTGAATTAATGCGCGTGATTTCATTTCTAACATCAAGAAGAACCTGATTACTTAGAATTTAACGACAAATCTGATTACATTTAATCATTAACACATTCATTAACCAGTCAATTTAATTTTAGTCAATTAATTTTCTTTGTTTTATCTATTAAAAAGAGAAAACTTAAAGAAATTAACATTGAAATGATGGAAACAAGGTCAAGAATACAAAACGCTATAGATCAAACCATTTTACGGTTCCATTGTGATTCTAATGGTCAAATACAAATGGAACCTAATGGTTTCGAACAAACGCACATAATTAAACGATCGCGAATTGAGCAAATAAACCACTCTCAAACGATTTGATTATTAAGTGTATACCGATGTTGAGCATTCAATTCAAATCGATCGGATAGAAATCGTATGATAATAATCTGACCTACACAAAATCCATTAATTAATGGATTAGCGATACCAGGAAGTCTATAGTTATCTAAGCAGAAAGAAAAATTACAATAATCTAGTTATAACAATCCTGTTATAATAAGGAATGATGAACGGTATTTTGTTAATTTTTTTAAAAATCTTCATAACTTAAAGGTGTATTTAATTAACTGTTCAAGATTTTAATCTAAGATTAGTGAAGAAATTACAGGGAAGAAGGTAATAAATAATGTTTGATAAATAGAAGAAAATTATTTTAAGCTTAAGAATTTAATAAATTTTTCTTGAAAAAGATGTTGTGCAATACAAATAAAATCAATAATAGAAGTGAAAATGAAACTTATAACGTAAAATACTTCACAACTTTTTTTTTATTTCATACAAGATGTGTTAATATCTTTTGAATACTTCACATCAATTACACAACCTGAAAGACACCATAAAATATATTTAAATATTTACTCTCACCTGTCACTATCAATCACATTTCCAAGCTTTCCATTACTCCAACCAATCGATTGTTGATCAGTAGCATTTTTTACAACGGCAATATTTTCTAATCTTAACAAATTCGGTTGGTTCAAATAAACCGAAGAAACCGGAATCCAATTCGTATAAATAGCTCTTGAATAAGCTTTTTGATTCAATTGTTCGTTATTGCTTAAATTTTCATTAACATTATTAGAACTATCAATTTCTTGGTCCCTTTTTATTTTGCTTTTAGCATCCCGTCGTTTAACAATTAATTGAGCAACGCTTCCATCTTTCGTTCGAACATTTAAAGTTTGCGTTTCTTCGGGATTTAAACTTCTGCTCACTTTTAATTCGGTCCTGGTAACGGTGACGGCCGGTTTTTCACCACTGTCCTGCTGGTCCGTTGCGACCATTGTTACGAACAACAATAGAAGGAGCGCCTGAAAAAATACGAGAAGAACTAAAAAGATAAGATAGAATCTATTGATCTTGGGTTTGGCCAAAACGATTCCGATTTTAAATTTACTTTTTATTTGATTTCTATTTCTATTAGTAAAGATTTATGATAATTTTATTTGGGTTTATAGGTTATCGTTTTGATAATTAAAATTTATAATGAGTTGTTTTAAATTTTAAATGAAATATGAATGTAATAAAAAGTGTGTTATATCAAAAAAATTTTGGGTTATGTTGTGTATTAATTAGTAATACTTTTAGTTCAATAAAAATATTCAATTTAGCAGTGAATAACAACTAAAACAAGAACTAACACTTGCATTAGAACTAAAACTAGACCTAGAACTAGAAAGTTTCGGGTTTAGCCGTGCCTTTTCAGACGATTTCCCAAAATGTTAATAAAAGTGTCCTCTTTCCAGTGAACCGAAATTTGTTTCAAATTTTGCAATTTTCGCCGATTAAGTTTTAAAAATTCGTATAAAATCAATTTCTTGGAATATGAGTATGAAAATTCCTCAAAGTGTTAATAAAAGTGTCCTCTTTCCAATGAACCAACCGGTTTTGAAAATTAACTTACAGTTTTTGAGAAAACAATATTTGAAGTTTTGATAAAATTTTCGATGTTGCAATTTTCACCAACAACTTTCAAAATTCGCTATAAAATTAATTTCTTGAAGGATCCTTCTGGAAATATTACTAATTATTAATTAAAATGTCCTCTTTTTAATGCAACAAGCCGTTTTGAAAAATCGCTTTTAGTTTTTGAGAAATAAATTTTTGTAATGATCGACTATTTTTTCGAATTTTGCAATTTTCTCCGATTAAGTTTTAAAAATTCGTATAAAATCCGTTTCTTGGAATATGAGTATGAAAATTTCCCAAAGTGTTAATAAAAGTGTCATCTTTCCAATGAACTAACCCATTTTGAAAAATAACTTTTAGTTTTTGAGAAAACAATATTTGAAGTTTTGACAAAATTTTCGATGTTGCAATTTTCATCGATAACTTTCAAAATTCGCTATAAAATTAATTTCTTGAAGGATCCTTGTGGAAATATCACCAATTATTAATTAAAGTAT